GATTCGTTTGACGAGGCTAGTTTCAGCTGGACGAGAGTAACACCAATAAAAAGGAGGAACAGGGACCCCCACTGGGTTCTAGTCAGAGTCTTTTGTAGCATAATGACGGAGAAAACAGCTGTTGTTAATATCTTGAGCTGATAAGTTACCTAATGAAAGAGAGGGAGGGAGTAATGATTATTAGTGTAACTAAAAAATGAAGTCGGAATCAGCTCAAACTTTCTACATACACATGTAGCACAATATGTATCAGAAAATGTAATAATAATTTGGAGTGATTTTGGAGCCATTTTTTGAAAGACCATGGGCTATATTGGTGCGCTTTTTTAAATGGCCATAACTTGAAAAATTGAAGTTGGAATCAACTCAAACTTTCTACACAGCATATGTACATCAATATGTATCAGAAAATTTAATAAAAATTTGGGGTAATTTCGGAGCCATTTTTTGAAAAAAAAACATGGGCTATAGCCTTGGGTATTTTTCAAAATTTGGCGCATTTTTTAAAATGGCCATAACTTGAAAAATTGAAGTTGGAATCAACTCAAACTTTCTACACAGCATAAGTACATCAATATGTATCAGAAAATTTTATAAAAATTTGGGGTAATTTCGGAGCGATTTTTTGAAAAAAACCATGGGCTATAGCCTTGGGTCTTTTTCAAAATTTGGCGCATTTTTTAAAATGGCCATAACTTGAAAAATTGAAGTCGGAATCAACTCAAACTTTCTACACAGCATAAGTACATCAATATGTATCAGAAAATTTTATAAAAATTTGGGGTAATTTCGGAGCGATTTTTTGAAAAAAACCATGGGCTATAGCCTTGGGTCTTTTTCAAAATTTGGCGCATTTTTTAAAATGACCATAACTTGAAAAATTGAAGTTGGAATCAACTCAAACTTTCTACACAGCATAAGTACATCAATATGTATCAGAAAATTTTATAAAAATTTGGGGTAATTTTGGAGCCATTTTTTGAAAAAAAACATGGGCTATAGCCTTGGGTATTTTTCAAAATTTGGCACATTTTTTAAAATGGCCATAACTTGAAAAATTGAAGTCAGAATCAACTCAAACTTTCTACACAGCATAAGTACATCAATATGTATCAGAAAATTTAATAAAGATTTGGAGTAATTTCGGAGCCATTTTTTGAAAAAAACCATGGGCTATAGCCTTGGGTCTTTTTCAAAATTTGGCGCGTTTTTTAAAATGGCCATAATGTGAAAAATTGAAGTCGGAATCAACTCAAACTTTCTACACAGCATAAGTACATCAATATGTATCAGAAAATTTAATAAACATTTGGGGTGATTTTGGAGCAATTTTTTGAAAAAACCATGGGCTATAGCCTTGGGTCTTTTTCAAAATTTGGCGCATTTTTTAAAATGGCCATAACTTGAAAAATTGAAGTCAGAATCAACTCAAACTTTCTACATAGCATAAGTACATCAATATGTATCAGAAAATTTTATAAAAATTTGGGGTAATTTTGGAGCCATTTTTTGAAAAAAAACACGGGCTATAGCCTTGGGTATTTTTCAAAATTTGGCCCATTTTTTAAAATGGCTATAACTTGAAAATTTTTTGTCGGAATCACCTCAAACCTTCTACACAGCATAAGTACATCAATATGTATGTGTCAGATTAATGACAATTGTACCTGAAAAACTGCAGGATCAAGATTGGAGACAGCAATATACTGGAGATTATTCTGTACCATGTAGACTAGAGCAGGCACAGAGAGCTTCAAAGTGTCCCTCCAATTTACAATGACACTTTGAAAAAGATAAGCAGTGAACTCTATCAGTCCTTTCTCCTCAGATATAAATAATATGACTACGCACGTGAAGAGCTTCAGTGTCTCTGATAACACTACTGCAGTGGTGCTGATGTACATCTCACCAACTTGAATACGAG